GCACGTGGAGGGGACACGGCCACACCCCTGCCCCACGTCTCCCGGCGGGCGCTGACCTTGGGCGAGCTGATGGACCTGCGCATGACAAAGGTGGCGGGGTCGGCGTAGATCTCGTCGCCGCGGGGCGGCAGCCGCTCGAAGCGGGCGCTGGGCGAGCGCACGGGCGAGTAAACCCTGGCGCGGCCGTAGGAGCCCTGGCTGGGCGAGCGCGGCACGGAGCGCGACCGCGGCTGCAGCGACATCCTCCGCAGCGAGCCCGAGGCCGCGTCCACCTCGTCCAGGTAGCTCGGAGGCCGCCCGGGCGCCGGTAGCCACAGAGGCACGTCCTGGCGACCGAAACCGGGGTGCTCCTTCCAATCGCGGAGCTGGAAGGGTCCCCCGTTGCGGAAGGAGTGGCGTTTGTCGTCCAGAGCCCAGGGMGGGCTGACGCGGTCGAAGGCGGGCATGGAGCAGATGCTGTCGGGGCGCACGCCCGGCGGGTAGTACTGGTACTCCTCGGGGTACTGCGGCGAGTAGGGCGAGTAATAATCGGGCACCCGGCGGGACACGGGGTAGAACCTGGTGGGGCTGCGGAGAGGGGAGAGAGAGGTGAGAGCGGGCTGGGGGTGGGCGAGGACAGCCCGAGGGGAGGCGGCTCGGATGCCAGGGGAGGGTGACAGCCCCGCTTGCCGGGGACTCCATGGGGGCTTCTCCTCAGGGGATTGATCGTCCCTGGGACCTCGGGGTGGCCTCCTCTCCTTTTATCCTCCCTACAATGACATTTCTGTCACGTTATCCTGCTTTCCAGGGACTCCACGAGAGCTTCACCTCATGAAATTATTCTCCGTGATCTCGGGGTGGCCTCCGCTCCCTGTGTCCCCCTTACAATGACACTGAGGTGGCTCCCTGTCACATTATCCCCCCTCCCAGGGACTCCACGAGAGCTTCCTCTCATGRAATTCTTCTCCGTGATCTCGTGGTGGCCTCCTCTGCCTGTATCCCACTTCCAGGGACACCGAGGTGCTTTCCCGTCCTGGCATCTCTCATGCCAGGGACCCTGTGGTGGCCTYTTGTCCTTGTCCCCTCCTCCAAAGGACCCTGTGGTGGCTCCCCGCTCTGGCCACGCCCTCCCAGGGTCTCCCCTTTAAAACCCACCCTCCTCGGCTTTTTGGGGTGCCCCACACCCAGCTCCGAGCCGGCACAGGGAGGGAACAAAGAAAGGAGAGCCAGAAATGAGATTTTCCGAGCCGCAGCAGGGCACAGAGCAGCCGGGAAGGGGCAGAACGTTCCCCGCAGGACCAGCCCCGCAGCGAAGGAGAATCCCGGCGTGGCACAGCCCTCACCTGCGCAGCTCCTCGGGCGCCCCGGCGGCGCGGCGAGAGTTCACCCACTGCTGCAGCTGCGTCATGGAGCTCTTGCGCTGCGCCAGCTTCTCGGGGTGCGAGCGGGGGGCGCCGCCCCGGCGCTGGGCCCCGCCGTCACCGTCACCGCCCGGCGGGAAGGCGACGCTGCCGGGCCGGCCGGGCGAGGGGTACGGCCACCCGTTGGGCTGTACCGGCCGCTCGGCGCTCGCCCGCGGCCCCTCGGGGTACGGGCTGCCCGGCTCCGAGGGCGGTTCCTGCCCGGCCGTGCCGTTGGCTTTGGCCAAGGGCTCCTTCTTGCCGTCCGGCCGCTCGGACGGTTTGCGCTCCATCTTCTCGGAGCCGCGGCCGTCGCCCTCGCCGCGGGTTTTGGCGTCGGGCTCGGCCTTGGGGTGCTCGCGGTGGGCGGCGTTGCAGTGGTGGTGGTGGTGTTTGCTGGGGGGGATGTTCTCCGAGTCCGGCTTCTCGTGCCTGGGGGTGCCGAGACACCACGGSGGGGTCACCGACCCTGGGCAGCAAYGCCCCMTCCCTCYCYGAACYTTGGGGTYACTCCCTCAGCCCCAGAGTGACCCCAAACACCCCGGGGTGCGGGGCAAGGACAGCATGGGGTCCCCAGGAGGGCCGGGCAGTGGGGTGGCACTGGGTGGCCCTGGGCGCTGACCTCTGGGTGGGGGGGATCTGCACCCGGGCGGCCTCGCCCATGGCCTGGATCCAGGATTCCTGCTCCTCCGTGTTCTCGGCGCTGAAGAAGTAGGTCCGGATGCCGGCGTGCTCGGCCTGGGGAGACAGGGACCGCCCGTTACCCGGCGGCAGCTCCTCCACCCAGCACACCGTCACCTGCAGGGGGGCACAGAACGGGGAGAGACAGACACGGGGGTCAGAACTCCGCTCGCAGCCGGGCACCGCTGCTCCAGGAGAAGCCGGGAGCGCAGAGCTCCGCTTCCAGCCGGGCACCGCTGCTCCGGGAGAAGCCGGGAGCGCAGAGCTCCGCTCTCAGCCGGGCACCGCTGCTCCAGGAGAAGCCGGGAGCGCAGAGCTCCGCTCTCAGCCGGGCACCGCTGCTCCAGGAGAAGCCGGGAGCGCAGAGCTCCACTCACAGCCTGGCACCGCTCCTCCGGGAGAAGCCGGGAGCGCAGAGCTCCGCTCGCAGCCGGGCATCGCTGCTCCGGAAGAAGCCAGGAGCGCTCCCCGAGCCACAGAAGGCTCTGCGGGCCCCTCGCCGAGCGGTTTTATCCCGCTTGGAGTCATTCCCGGAGATTTTTGGGACCAGCCCTCCCCCGGATCCCTCCCGTGAGAGGAGAAGCACCCCAAATTGGGGTGGGGAAGGGTCCCAGTCCCAGCGAGAGCGGCAGCACCGCAGGAGCATAATCCATGCAGGGTGAGGGGGAAGGTGGTTCCTCGGCCCAGGAAATGTTTTGGGAGGAAAATGTTTGGTTTTGCCCCAAGTCGGTGTCCGTTCTCCACCCAGAACGTTCTGGAAGGAGCCTTTCATTCAACGGCCTTTATGGAGCTTCCACCTTCCCCCCTGTGGGAAAGGATGGGGGAAAGCAAGGAGGAAGGAAAGGGAGGAATYGGGGTTTTCCTCCTGAAAGGATTTCAGGGTTCAATCTCTTTAAAAAAATTAAATAAAACAGAAAACTGAGGTCGGATTAAACCCCCCCCTCGGGTTTCCATCCTCCCCAGAGCATGCAGCCACCGTGCCCAGCCGGGGTCAYCTCCTGAGCCCCTCCCCATGCGGTTCTGGAAGCTGTGCAGGCACAGGGAATGACGGAATCGGGGGGATCCATGCCCTGGGTTAGTGGGGYGGGGGAGCGGAGCGAGCCCGGGGTCCCTCGGCCTCGGCATGCACCGCAAACACGAGAAGGTACTACCTAGGTGGCGGTGGCGGGGTGCTGGCGCGGTGGTGGCACCAAGAGACCCCTCCTGTCCCGGCATCCTCGCCCGCCGAGGGAGGAGGAGGAGGAGGAGGAAATACAGACACGGGGTCAGCGGGAGCGGGGTGGGAACCTCTCTGCCCTTCCCTGGAYAAACCCATCCCCCCAAAGCCTGGGCGGTGCCAA